GAAGAAATTGGAAAAAAATACATGGAAGCCAATGAAAATGAAAACACAAAGGACTAAATTTGGGGTGCAGCAAAAGCATACATAAGAAGGGATATATAACAAGAACCTCAATATATAAGTACATCCAGCAACCATGAAAAATCTCAAATATTCAACCTAAGTTTATACCTAACGGAGCTGGAAAAAGGACAAGAAATAAAGCCTAAAACTATCAGAAGAGGGGAAATAATAAAGATTAGAGTAGAAATATATGATATAGAAAGAAACAAATATTTGAAATTCAATGAATGTGATATACTACACAAAATAAAATAAAAAATAAGAACAATATGATCCTCTCAGTAGATGCAGGAAAAAGTATTTTACCAAGTACAACATCCATTCATGATAAAAACCCACAACAAAGTAGGGATCGAGGGAACATACTCAACATCATAAAGGGCATATATAAAAGACCCAGAGCTAACAACATCCTCAATGGGAAGAAACTGAGAGCTTTACTGCTATGGTCAAGAAGAAGACAGGGATGCCCACTGTCACACTTGTTATGTGCCATAGTACTAGAAGTCCTAGCCTCAGCAATCAGACAGCAGAAAGAAATAAAATATATTCAACTTGCCAAGAGAGTGGTCAAACTTTCACTATTCACCAATGGCATGATACTGTATGTAGAAAACACAAATCTCTTCACCAAAAATTTTCTAGAACTGATACATAAATTCAGGAAAGTCACAAGATACAAAATCAACATAGAAAAAAGTTTCACTTCTTTACCACAAAAATGAATCAGCAGAAAGAGAAATCAGCATTACACTTACAAAGGCATAAAAACTCATAAGATACCTAGGAATAACCTAACCAAATATCTATATTCTAAAAATTTTAGAACACTTCTGAAAGAAATTTAAGACAACATAAAGAAATGGAAAAATATTCCATGCTCATGGATTGAAAGAACAAATATTGTTAAAATGTCTTTACTACCCAATTTACTTTACTACTTCAATTCCTCTCAAAATAACACCAGCATTTTTCACAGAGCTACAGCAAACTTAAAAACATACAAAAAATTTGTATGGAACCACAAAATTTCCTGAAGAGTCAAAGCAATTTTGAAAAAGAGAAACAAAGCTGGAGACATCACAGTTACAGACATCAAGTTATATTACAAAGCTGTAATGATCAAGGTAGTATGGTACTGGCAGAAGAACACACAGAGAGATCAGTGAAGCAGAATAGAAAACCCAGAAATGGACCCACAACTATATGGTCAATCTTTGACAAAGCAGGAAAGAATATCCAGTGTAAAAAAAAAATACTGACTCTTTATCAAATGGTTTTGGGAAAACTGGAAAGGAACAAGCAGATAAATGAAACTGGACCACTTTCTTATACCATACACAAAAATGAATTCAAAATGCATCAAAGACTTAAATATGAGACAGGACCATCAAAATCCTAGAGGACAACACAGGCAACAACCTCTTTGACCTCAGCAGTAGCAACTTCCTACCACACACATCGGCAGAGGCAAGGAAAACAAAAGCAAACGTGAACTATTGGGAGTTCATCAAAATAAAAACTTCTGCATAGTGAAGGAAACAAACAACAAAACTAAAAGGCAGCCTATGGAATGGGAGAAGATATTTGCAAATGACACATCTGATAAAGTGTTAGTATCCAAAATCTATAAAGAACTTATCAAACTCAACACTTAAAAAAAAATCAAATAATCCAGTGAGGAAAGTAGCAGAAGACAGGAATATATTTTTTTTCCAAAAACATCCAGATGGCTAACAGACACATGAAAAGATACTCAATATTAATCATCATCAGTGAAATACAAATCAAAACCACAGTGAGATACCACCTGACACCTGCTAGATTGGCTAAAATTCACAATGCAGGAAACAATAGATGATGGACAAAGATGCAGAGAAAGAGGAACCCTCTTACACTGTTGGTGGGTATGCAAACTGGTGTAGCCACTGTGGAAACAATATGGAGATTCCTGAAAAAGTTAAAAATAGAACTACCCTATGACCCAGCAATTGTACTACTAGTATTTACCCAAAGGATACAAAAATAGTGATTCAAAGGGGCACATGCATGCCAATGTTTATACTAGCATTTTCAACAATAGCCAAATTATGGAAAGAGCCAAATGCCCATAGACTGATGAACGGGTAAAGAAGATGTGTTTTATACATACAATGGAGTATTACTCAACCATCAAAAAGAATGAAATCTTGCCATTTGCCACAATGTGGTTGGAGCTAGAGTGTATTATGCTAAGTGAAATAAGCCAGTCAGAGAGAGACAAATACCATATGATTTCATTCACACATGGAATTTAGTAAATAAAACAGATGAGCACATGGCGGGGGTGAGAATAGAGGGAAACGAACCACAAGAGACACTTAATGATAGAGAACAAACTGAGGATTTATGGAGGGAGGTGTGTGGGAAAAGGGGGAGATGGGTGATGGGCATTAAAAAGGGCACTTGTGGTGATGAACTCTGGCTGTTATTTGTAATTGATAAATCAATAACTTCTACTCCTGAAACCAATATTACTCTATGTTAAAAGATTAGAATTGAAATAAAAAACTTGAAACAAAAAATAAAATACAGGCAAAACTTTAAACTTTAATAAATTCAATTACATCAAAGTTAAGCAGTTTGGATTTTGCTTCACTAAGAATCATTTGGGCAAAGTTAATAGGTGACAGAAAGAATATACATGCTATGTCTACAATGAAAAAATATTTTTTATCTACCATATATTAGAACTACAAATCAAGTGTGGGGCAGCAATCTGAGAATAAAAAGAGTCAAAGAAATAATCTGAAAATTTACAGAAGAAAACCACCGTCCGCCAATACCAAAAAAACCCCAAGTTGGTAGACAATGATATATTACTTTACATCTACTAGACTGACAAAAATTAGAAAATGAGTAAATCTGAACATGGCAAGGAGTGCAGAGAGATGTATATGCATAAGCATTTTACCCCTGGGAGAATAGTTTAAAGCAGCCATTCTTTGGAAAGCAGTATGGCACTACCTGGACAACTAAAATACACCTATAACAGGCAATTCCTCTCCTGAATATTTGTCCCTATGAAAATCTCATACAGGTACACAGTGAACACGAATGAGGATATACATGGCAGTGTTGTTTGGGTTGGGGTTTCCATTGGTGGAAAATGGATAGGTCAGTGCAGGAATGCACACCCAGAAACATAGACAGCATCTATTAGGCACATTGGATCAGATGTAGCATGTAAATGAACATTAAACCACGGCACACAGTGGCAAACAGAAAGAAATGATGCACATGGATAGGAAATAGAAACACATACAACAATACACGTTCCACAAGAACACTTTCCAATGAGGAATGCACTTTAAACCCCAACACCTGCTTTTCTGTGGTGGGGGTAGTAGTAGGAATTGAAACAGCAAATGAGAATAAATGGACAAACAGAGAGGGAGGGCCTTTGGTGAATCAGTGTTATTAATATAGCATGAACTGAAGAAAATAATTCGTATCCCATTACACTAATGCCTGACTATCAAATAGGCCAAGAAAAATAAAGAAAGGAAGGAAAGGAGGGAAGTGGGGGGAGAGAGAGAGACAGAGAGAGAGGGACGGAGAGAGAAAGAGAGAGGGGGGGATTGGAAAAAGTGTAAAAGGGGGAGTGGCAGAAGAAGCTGAAAACAGATATTTGAATTTTTGAATCTCTGCAGAGATTTTTACATCATATTGTTTGAATCTCTGCAGAACTGTGCCATGATTGAAAACCTGTCAGCCCTCCTGAATCTGTGATTCCTCCTGCAGAAGCAGTATCTTTTATCTGGGAAAGCAAAAGGATGAAAGAAACCTTCCAGAGCCTTATAACAAGTTTTCATGAATTTGAACTCATTGAGTTACCAGCTGAGGTAACATGCAGGCACACGTGGTCGTGGTCTTCCCTGTGCAACACTGGAGGACTAAAACCACCAATATTAAGATAATGAGATGACCAGATAAGTTGCACCCCACCTGCACCTGCTAGCAAGGCTTCTGCACCCAAAAATGATCTTGCTCACCAGCTGCTGCTGCTTAGCATGGGTGATTGGATGGTCTTAGGAAGGAAGGCTAGGATGGGAATTGATGAGGGGCCAGTGGGTTTTCTCATTTCAGAAGTTGATTGGAACCTTTCTGGGACTTACGATTTTTAGTTGGGTAAGTTTTTTTTTTAGAACATTGCCTGGATATATCTGAACCATGACCTTTATAGAGGGTATGTTTTAATCTTATACCTTTAATCTTAATCTTTATATGAATCATGTAAATTAAGTGTAAGAAATCTAAAGCAGGCAATTACACCCAAATATCCTGAGACAAATGTCCTCTTTAATTAGAATTGAGAGAAGTAGTCATCAGAAAAATGTGTCACATCCTACCTACAGTGAAAGGCCCAACTTTAGGCATCATCCTTCCCTTCCTGTCTCCATGTGGGTCATAGGGCTTTCCTTAGGGATTTATAATGAACACTATTTCCTTAGGTGGACATCATGTGCACAGTAGGAAACATGGGGAAGCGGGGAAAAATGGAAAGTGACTCCTTCAGTGAAATTCCTTTTTTTTCTTTTTGTTTATATTACCTAAAGTCCTAGGAGTGGGCTTGTGGAAGGAAATCTAGAGGCAGACATAGAAGGTAATTTAAAAGTCCCATATATGAAGCAGAAGAAAGCACCGAAGAGTCAAAGAATCAATTAGTGCGGCAAACGCCCACAGAGTTTCAAATGTAGCATCTCCTTAAAAGGAAAATAAAGAAAATGTTTGTTTTCTTTTACTCATACTGCATTTTTAATATATTAAAAATTCCATTCTGACCAAATTACCATTATACATGTTATAATAACAAACTCTTATTAAAATACTGATGGCAATTCTATCTGCATTTTGGAGACATTTGTACATCATTGAAAACAAAAATAATTGTTTTACAGGAACCATCTGGTTTCAGCAGATATTAAACTTGATTTATTTTGATGAACATCGAAAAAACACTGGGAATCTGGAGACGGTTTTGCGAGTTCCCTATTTTGAGTACCCCAATGAAAACACGGATTTTGTTAAAAGACCATCTCCTCGTCTCTTCACTACCCACCTCCCATACTATTTGGTTCCAAGTGGCCTGAAGAACAAAAAAGCCAAAGTAAGAAAGAGACTATGGCTGTTGAAAGATAACTGCTCTTTTTCTTTATTTCATTTCCTTTCATTACACTGACACTGCATTCATCAAGCTGAAGCAAATGTGGCATTTGACATGCTTTTATTTTCAATAGCCATTTTGTTCTTATCGTGGAGAATCTGATTTTTATCTTGTACCCTTTTCCTGATCACATATGTAATACAGCCATTAAATATGAAAGAGTGTATATCTGTGCATTTAATTAACTTTATAATGTAAATTCTAATATAATACACATTTTAGATTATATATCCTTTCATTTTTTTTTTATTTTTTTTTTAACGTTTATTTATTTTTGAGACAGAGAGAGATAGAGCATGAATGGGGGAGGGGCAGAAAGAGAGGGAGACACAGAATCGGAAGCAGGCTCCAGGCTCTGAGCCATCAGCCCAGAGCCCGAGGCGGGGCTCGAACTCACGGACTCACAGACCGTGAGATCGTGACCTGAGCTGAAGTCGGACGCTTAACCGACTGAGCCACCCAGGCGCCCCTCCTTTCATTTTTTTAATTAGCTTACTTACTAGGTGCGCTTACAATACTAGCAATTCCTTCACTGCTCTCAGTGACCTCACCACTACCTTTTCATACTTCCACCTATTTTGGTTGGGTACCATGGATAGAGGTGTGTCTGGCAGAGTAATTGAGAGCCACAGGCCAATCATGGAGGAAGACGCAATGTAGAGAAGGGGAAACCCAAAATACAAAGAACACTGAATGTCTACAAGACATAGTTAGGAAACTATAAAGTTAAAAGAAAAAACATACTTCATCCAATTGGAAGGTATTCGGGTAAAAATATGATGTAATGAAAGCAACAGAAATAATGAAGACTTCCTTTCTTTGCAGATTATTTATGTATACAGAAACCCTAAGGACGTTATGTGCTCATATTTTCACTTTTCAAAGAAGATGCCATTACCTGCTACAAGTACCATTGAGGAATTCATGAAACTATTTCTAGAAGGAAAAGGTAAATAAACTTATATAAAGCAAGTAATAAGTTTGCTGTCCTGCAGTGAGGTTTAAGCTTAGTGAATATGACAGAGGGTAAAAAAGAAGCTGAAGTAGAGCTGAATGAGGGTGAGTAATCAATGTATTAAGCCATTGGTAGGGTTGTCCTAGATGACCATGCCCTGCCATTGTTACAAATTATGCTGCCCCTGGCTTCTCTCAGTAGACTGTCAAGATTACAAAGTCGTATCACAAAGGAATATTTACATTTAGCTATGAAAACAGTGGTTCATAAGCACAGGGGTTTCTGTTCTAGCTCAGTGAGAAGAATCTCAGTTCAGATCACAGGTTTGGAGCTTTGCACTGCATATTGCAAATGGCTGCTGCCAGGAGCTTCTATTTGATAAAGTTCTATTCCATATTTCTTTCTTTTTTATTAAATTTTTATATATTTATTTATCTGTAAATGTTTATTTTTGAGAGAGAGAAAGGAAGTGCACACTAGTGGGGGAGGGGCAGAGAGAGGGAGACAGAGGATCTGAAGTCTGCTCTGTGCTAACAGCAGAGAGCCCTATGCGGGGCTCCAACTCAAAAACCATGAGATCATGACCTGAACCAAAGTCAGATGCTTAACCAACTGAGCCACTCAGGCGCCACTTTTATTTATTTTTAAAGTAATCTCTACACCCAACATGGGACTCCAACTCACAACCCTGAAATCAAGAGTTGTATACTCTATCCACTAAGCAAGCCAGGACCCCACCCCCGTACTTCCTTTTGTCAGGAGGCACCACTGTAGCTGGTTGAGCAGGAGCCAGTCCTCTGAAGTAGAGGTGATGATCTGGAACAGGAGAGCTATGTTTAGTGTCAAATGTACTGTGCAGAGCAGAAGTGACTCCTCAGGGAGCGCACATGTTCCATGTAGCCAGGAAAAAGTTCTATGTGCTTGGGAAGACCAGGAGGAGTGAGAAGGAGAGGATCCTTTCCTCCATTTTCCTCCTTGGTTTTTCTAACCACATGCTATGTTGATTTTGTGTCTATTTTAAGAGACTAATTTCTCCTCGAGTTCATGTAATTGTTTTCTGGTAGAAGCTTGATGGTTCTCCCATAACCAGGTGCTAGGGGAAATCAGGACTCTAGCAGCACACTTCCTTTTCCTTCTTTGTTACTAAAGACTCCTGCATCTCCTAAGACTATAACTCATTTTCAGTGTGTTCAACACATTTACTTAATGACTATCTATTCTTCTCGCAGTGCTGGGAAGCCTTTGGTTTGACCACATCAAAGGTTGGCATGAGCACAAAAGCCTCTTCAACATCGAGTTCATGATGTATGAGGAGTTTAAAAAGGTGAGAAAAGTGACATTAGTGACTTCACAGAATCTGTAAGGCAGCCTGGCTGAACGTATTGATTGCTCATGCCCAGAACACCCAAAGGGCGATATCAAATTTGAGATCCCAGACGAAGTGGACCAGGAGACATTTTTCCAGTATCACTTCTGTACTTTGTTTGCCAGGTTTTCATTTACAGCTAATACTGGAAGTTTCTTTTCAAAAATCGTCTGTGTGTGAGGAATTATCTGTGTATGTATATGATATGCATACGTTTGATTATTTAGAGTCAGACTATTGGTCTCTCTTTCATGGATTGTGAAATCTATTTTCTGCACTATTCATTCTAATAACATTCTAAATGTTATGTTCATCATTCTTGGGTGCATCTCTTGGGAAACTTCAATCTTGTCTGCATTGTGTATGATTAAAAATTCCCAGAAAAATTAAATGAAAATGCCTCTATATGATTAGACATAATTCAGCACCCAGTACAGTCAACTCTAATTGGCTTAAAATGTAGGAACTTCTGTTGTTTATTGACTGAATCCCAGAGGAAGGCTACCCTTATGCTGAGTGTTACCGCTAAGCAATCAAGAATGTCCCAGCATTATCTGTCTTTCTTTTGTATCGTATTTGGTGTGGCAAGGATGTCTCCCATCATGGTAGCAAGGCAGTTGTAGTTGTGTCCTCAGATGATAACATGTAAGGCAGAAAGACAGGGAACTGGGATAAAGGGGCCTTCTTGCCCTGCTTTATTTCTACTTTTTCTCTAGGAGGAAAATCATAGTAACTTCTCTTTGACTTCCTCTTTCTTTTTAAAAAAAGTTTATTTTGAGAAAGAGAGTAAGAGAGCATAAACAGTGCAGGGGCATAGAGAGAGGGAGGGAGGGAAAGATAGAGAGAATCCCAAGCAGGCTCAGATCAGTCAGTGTAGAGCCGGAGGCAGGGCTCAATTCCATGACCCATGAGATCATGACTTGAGCTGAAATCAAGAGTCAGGCACATAACCAACTGAGCCACCCAGGAGCCCCTTGACTTCCTCCTTCTGTTTCAATGCCAAAATTGGGTCATATGACCAATGAGAATAATCTCTTGTAGAGACAATAGAATTGCTTTGAGGATCATGGATCAATTAGAATCATTACTGAATCAGGACTGGGCACTAATGCCAGAACATCACCAGGTGAACTCTTAGCAGGGAAGAAGAGAAAGAGCTGAGAGGCAAGTTCTCCTAAGGACGTCTTCATCCTGAGTATTTGTCACTAGTCTGTTACACCTGCCCCAGAGCATGATACTAAGCCTAGACTTTCTTGTTGAGTCCATATCACCTACCAAATAGAGATTCAGTGTCTGGCTCGCCTTGAAACCTTCCTCACGATATGATCCCACTATTGCTTCCACCCTCATCTCCCATATTCTCATCCAAAGCCAGTTTCCACTAGCTCTACGGAAATTGAACTTCTAACTGTCCTGTGACCTGTTATCTCACAACTTCTACACAACCAAAATGTTGCAGATATTCTTTCATTTCTCTAGACTCCATATCTTTAGTTTGTCTACCTAGAAAATTCCCATTTTTGCTTTAATTCCCAGAACAAATTTCTTGTCTTTATTGAAATATTCTGAGTTCTGTTACACAATTAGTCTTTCCCAAAGGTCCTTGTACTGAATTCCTAGGATTCATCCCCAGTTGTCTCTCTGTTCACTCGCACCATCACACAGGGCAGTGTCTGTCATTTAGTAGCTACTCCCCAAATACTTGCCGGTAACACAGATAAAACAAAATATGAGTGTTCTCAAAATGAACCCAAATGTGCTCTCAAACAGTGGACAAGTGATGGATTAATTTATCAAGAGGGAATAAGCAAGTCACATCTCAAGGAACAGCTCCACTTTCTAAGCAACCTAAGCACCTACGATGTTCACTCCCATAATGATATTTATCTATGACACTTGTATAAGTCTTCTTTGTGATAACATGCATAATTTATCATACTGTGATTTATTTCAGGATCTCAGAGGTTCTATGTTAAAAGTCTGCAAATTTCTGGGGAAAGAATTAAGTGATGAGGACATGGATGTTGTGGTGAGCCAGGCCATGTTTGAGAACATGAAGTTAGACCCACGGGCAAATTATGACAATATACTAAAGGACCAATTTGGGATACAAGAAAAAGGTCATTTCCTTCGCAAAGGTGAGGTTGAACAGTGAATGTCTGTATTGTACTGTGTCACAAATGAACCAAGTGTAGCTTCTAAGCTTCCTGGCTCACTTTTCTAACATGGACCCTTATGGCCCAGTTCCCATCACTAGACAAATGATTTTCCATGATTTCTTCTTGTTGCTCTTCAAGAGACTATATAATGTTGTAAGTGAATGTATCTGATGAATAGCCTAAAATCAAAAGGCCTTCTCCATGGCCCCTGGAAATCTACCAATGCCAGTACAATGTCTGCCACAAAATGGTTGTTCATTTACTGTTAGACTGTTTCCTTCCATTAGCATGGGATTGGCACATGATGATGAGGCAATGCTGGGGCTGTTGGCCAACAATGACTGCCCTTCCATTTCTGTGATTTATCCCTGAGTCTCCCCAGGGCTGAATTAACAACATGCATTCACTGATCTTTTGTTATTGCACAGGACTATCATGTGTCCTCTAGTAAACCTCATAAAAATGTGTAAGTTTCTCTCATTTATTATAATATCTCATACCTCTGATGAGTGAGTTTTTAAGTGAATGACTCCTTCATGTAACTGATAAATTTCACCATGTTTTAATATTTTTGTTACTTGTATAATCATTCTAAGTTATATTTATGATCTTCTATCTTAGTACATGGAACATCTATAATACAGAACTATAGACATAAATTTCGCACTTAATCATAGGGTTCCATGCCTCTTTTTCAAGTAGTAATAAATATTGGCTTTGATTTCTCTCAGTATTTCCGTCACCTGATCTCTTCATATATTTTTACCTGCTCAATTAAAAAATGTGAAGCACTGGTAACTCGGAGCCAACCTAAAGTGGAGACATTCCCTTCCTGTTATGCTCAGAACACCCTGTCTTGTAGTAGACCACATCCCTTCTCAACTGCCATAATCATTGCACTTGAAGTTTGTTTTCCCTTGAAAAAATAAAATTTTCTGTGTTTATACATCTTTAACTTACCTGAAAATGAGAGACTCAAATAGCTAAGAAGACAAGGAGGAGGAGCCAATTTTCCTTGTGGAAGTAAAGCACATTCCCATATGTTTCTTCTGCATAGACATGTACTTTTCTCTTACATTTTATCTAAAGGAACATCATTTGCACTAACTTTACCACTCCTACATGGTTTTCCTTTGTGTTTTCAGTTTTGTTAGTATTTCAGTTTGTTTCAGTCATCTGTTTATTTCAGAGTGCTTTTACAATCAGTGTTGCTTGTCTTGCCTTTCCTTCTATCGCCACATTTGTCACCACATCTCTGTGTCTATAACTTTTTAAAATATAATTTATTATCAAGTCAGCTAACATACATTGTATACAGTGTACTTTTTGTTTCGGTGATAGATTCCCGTGATTCTTCGCTTACATACAACACCCAGTGTTCATTCCAACAGGTGAGATGCCCATCACCTATTTTCCCCTCTCCCCTGCGACCCCCCCCCCGCCCACCCATCAACCCTCACCTTTGTCTCTGTATTTAAGAGTCTCTTATGGGGGCGCCTGGGTGGCTCAGTCAGTTAAGCGGCCGACTTCGGCTCAGGTCACGATCTCGCTGTCCGTGGGTTCGAGCCCCGCGTCAGGCTCTGGACTGATGGCTCAGAGCCTGGAGCCTGCTTCTGATTCTGTGTCTCCCTCTCTCTCTGCCCCTCCCCCGTTCATGCTCTGTCTCTTTCTGTCTCAAAAATAAATAAAAGTTAAAAAAAAAATTAAAAAAAAAAAAGAGTCTCTTATGGGTTTGCCTCCCTCTGTGTTTGAAGTTATTTTTTCCCATTGCCTTCCCCCACGGTCTTCTGTTAAGTTTCTCTCAAGTTCCACATATGAGTGAAAACATATTATATGTCTTTCTCTGACTGACTTATTTCACTTAGCATAATGCCCTCCAGTTCCATCCACGTTGTTACAAATGACCAGATTTCATTCTTTCTCATTGCCAAGTAGTATTCCATTGTATATATAAACCACATCTTCTTTATCCATTCATCAGTTGATGGACATTTCGGCTCTTTCCATAATTTGGCTATTGTTGAAAACATTGACTCTTTGAAACAACATACTTATATCCCTTGGATAAATACCTAGTAGTGCTATTGCTGGGTCATAGGGTAGTTCTATTTTTAATTGTTTGAGGAACCTCAACACTGTTTTCCAGAGCAACTGCACCAGTTTGCATTCCCACCAACAGTGCAAGTGGGTTCCTGTTTCTCCACATCCCCACCAATATATGTTGTTTCCTGAATTAATTTTAGCCACTCTGACTGGTGTGAGGTGGTATCTCAATGTGGTTTGATTTGTATTTCCCTGATGATGAGTGACATGGAGCATCTTTTCATGTGTCTGTTGGCCATCTGGATGTATTTTTTGAATAGACACTGGAAAAGTGTCTATTCACGTCTTCTGCCCATTTCTTCACTGGATTAGTTGTTTTTCAGGTTTTGAGTTTGCTAAGTTCTTTATAGACTTTGGATACTAACCCTTTATTCAGATATGTCATTTGCAAATATCTTCTTCCATTCCGTCAGATGCCTTTTAGTTTTGTTTTGTTGATTGTTTCCTTTGCAGTGCAGAAGCTTTTTATCTTGATGAGGTCCCAATAGTTCATTTTTGCTTTTATTTCTCTTGCCTTTGGAGACGTGTCAAACAAGAAATAGCTGCAGGTGAGGTCAAAGAGGTTGTTGCCTGTTTTCTCCTCTAGGGTTTTGATGGTTTTCCTGTCTCACATTCAGGTCTTTCATCCATTTGGAGTTTATTTTTGTGCATGGTGTAAGAAAGCGGTCCAGTTCATTCTTTGGCATGTTGCTGTCCAGTTCTCCCAGCACCATTTGCTAAAGAGACTATCTTTTTTCCATTGGATACACTTTCCTGCTTTGTTAAGCATTAGTTGGCCATACATTTGTGGGTCCAATTCTGGGTTCTCTATTCTATTCCATTGATCTACGTGTCTGTTTTTGTGCCAGTACCATACAGTCCTATTGATTACAGCTTTGTTGTAGAGTCAGGGGTTTTGATGCTTCTTGCTTTGGTTTTCTTTTTCAACATTGCTTTGGCTATTCTGGGTCTTTTGTGGGTCCATATAAATTTTAGGATTGTTTGTTCTAGATTTCAGAAAAATGCCAGTGCAATTTTGATTGGGATTGCATTGAATGTGTAGATTGTTTTGGGTAGTGTTGACATTTTAACAATATTTGTTTTTCTAATCCATAAGCAAGTCATGTTTTTCCATTTCTTTGTGTCTTCTTCAATTTCTTTCATAAGTTTTCTATAGTTTTCATCATACAGCTCTTTTACATCTTTGGTTAGGTTTACTCCTAGATATTTTATGGTTCTCAGTGCAGTTGTAAATGGGATCAATTTCTTGATTTCTCTTTCTGTTACTTGTTTATTGGTGTATAAAAATGCAACCAATTAATATACATTGATTTTGTATCCTGCGACTTTGCTGAATTCATGTATCAGTTCTAGCAACTTTTTGGTGGAGTCTTTCGTGTTTTCCATGTACAGTATCATATCGTCCGTAAAAAGTGAAAGTTTGACTTCTTCTTTGCCAATTTTGATGCCTTTTATTTCATTTTGTTGTCTGATTGCTGAGGCTAGGACTTCCAACACTATGTTAAACAACAGTGGTGAGAGTGGACAGCCCTGTCATGTTCCTGATCTCAGGGGGAAATTAACTAACTTTGCTAGTTAAGGGTCTGTTCAAATTTTCTATATCTTCCCATTTGAGTATTGGTAGTGTGTGGGTGTCTAGTAAATTGTCCATTTCTTCCAGGTTGTCCAGTTTTTTGGCATATAATTTTTCATAGTATTCTCTAATTGTTTTATTTCTATGGTGTTGGTTGTGATCTCTCTTCTTTCATCCATGATTTTATGTATTTGGGTTCTCTCTCTTTTCTAATTAGAAGTCTGGCTAGGTGGTTATCAATTTTGTTCATTTTTTCAAAAACAAATAGCTCTTAGATTCATTGATCTGTTCTATTCCTTTTTTGGATTCTATACTTTTTATTTCTGCTCTAATCTTTATTATTTCTCTTCTTATGCTGGTTTTGGTGTTTCTTTGCTCTTCTGCTTGTAGTTCCTTTAAGTGTGCAATTAGGTTATGTATTTAGGACCTTTCTTGCTTCTTGAGATAGACCTGGGTTGCAATGTATTTTCCCCTTAGGACTGCCTTTGCTGCATCCCAAAGGGTTTGGACTGTCATGTTTTCATTTTTTTTTAATTTTTTTTTCAACGTTTATTTATTTTGGGGACAGAGAGAGACAGAGCATGAATGGGCGAGGGGCAGAGAGAGAGGGAGACACAGAATCGGAAACAGGCTCCAGGCTCTGAGCCATCAGCCCAGAGCCCGACGCGGGGCTCGAACTCACGGAACGCGAGATCGTGACCTGGCTGAAGTCGGACGCTTAACCGACTGCGCCACCCAGGCGCCCCTCATGTTTTCATTTTAATTTGCTTCCATATATTTTTTAATTTCTTCTCTAATTGCCTGGTTGATCCATTCATTCTTTAGTAGGATGTTCTTTAACCTCCATGCATTTGGAGGCTTTCTAAATTTTTTTGTGGTTGATTTCAAGTTTAATAGCATTGGGATCTGAAAATATGCATGGTATGATCTCAATTCTTATATATTTATTGAGGGCTCTTTTGTGACCCAGTATGTGATCTATCTTGAAGAGCATTCCATGTGCACTCGAAAAGAATGTGTATATTGCTGCTTTTGGATGAAAAGTTCTGAATATATCTGTCAAGTCCATCCAGTCCAGTGTGTCATTCAAGGCAATTGTATCTTTATTGATTTTCTGCCTAGATGATCTGTCTATTGTTGTAAGTGGAGTGTTAAAGTCCTCTGCAATTACCGTATTCTTACCAATAAGATTGCTTTTGTTTGGTGTTAATTAATTTATGTATTTGGGTGTATCAAGTTGGGGGCATAAACATTTACAATTGTTAGCTCTTCTTGATGGATAGACACCATAATTATGATATAATGTCCTTCTTCAACTCACGTTACAACCTTTAGTTTAAAATCTAGTTTGTCTGATGTAAGTATGGCTACTCCATCTTTCTCTGGACTTCCAGTAGCATGATAGATGGTTCTCTAACCCCTCACTTTCAATCTGAAAGTGTCCTCAGTTCTAAAATGAGTCTCTTGTAGGTGACATACAGATGGATCTTGGGTTTTTTTGTCCATTCTGATACCTTATGTCTTCTGAGTGGAGCATTTAGTCCATTTTCATTCAGACTTATTATTGAAAGATATGGATTTAATGTCATTGTGTTGTCGGTAGGTTTCATGCTTGTGGTGATGTCTCTGGTCCTTTGTAGTCTTCACAGCATTTCACTCACTGAGTCCCCCTTAGGATTTCTTGCAGGGCTGGTTTAGTTCATGAGTTCCTTCAGTTTTTGTTTGTATGGGAAAGGCTTTATCGCATAAAAATTCTTGACTGCATACTTTTTGTATTAAGCACAATTGAATATTTCCTGCCACTCCCTCTGGCCTGCCAAGTTTCAGTGGTTAGGTCTGCTACTATCCTTATGTTTCTACCCTTGTAGGTGAAGGCCCATTTGTCCCTAGCTGCTTTCAGAATTCTCTCTTTATCTTTGTATTTTGCCAGTTTCACTATGATATGCCTTGCAGAAAACCAATTCTTGTTAAATCTGAAGGGAGTTCTGTGCTTCCTGAATTTGGATGTCTGCCTCCTTACCCAAATGAGGGAAGTTCACAGCCATAATTTGTTCAAGTAAACCTTCTGCCCCTTTCTCTCTCTTTTCCTCTTCCAGAACTCTTATGATATGGATATTATTTTATGTTTCATTGAATCCCTTAGTTCTCTAATTCTCCCTTGTGGTCTAGTATTTTCTTATCTCTCTTTCCCCAGCTTCATTGTTTCCCATAATTTTATCTTCTATTTCACTTAATCTCCCCTCTACTTCCTCCCTCCTTGATTTCACTGCATCTAATTTATTTTGCACTTCATTTACAGCATTTCTTAATTCATCATGACTATTCCTTAGTTCTTTGATCTCTGCAGCAATAGATTCTCTGCTGTCTTTTATGCTTTTTACAAGTCCAGCAATAATCTTATGACTATTATTCTAAATTCTTTCTCAGATATATTGTTTGCATCCATTTAGCAATTCTCTAGTGTCATTTCTTCCTGGAATTTCTTTTGAGGAGAATTCTTCTGTTTTGTCATTTTGGCTAGTTTTCTGTCCCATATGTGTTTTAATAGTATGTCTTGCACTTGTGAGCACTTTTATATTAAAAAGGGGTCATACACTGTCCAGGGCCTGGCCCTTCAGGAGGTTTTTTTGGAGTATGTTTCTTGCTCTCTGTTGTGACTTTGGTTGCTTTATCTCCCTACTTGTAGTGATGTTTTGGACCCTCCACCAGGTGTGCTTTGATGTGTTAATTGAAGTAACTCTGGAAAAAATTTTAAAAATGGTGGAGGTGGTGGAAGAAACCTTATCCCATACAAAGAGAGAAATGACAGAGGTGGGGAAAAAGGAAAGGAAAAAAAAAATTGACCGGGCAGAGAATCAGAGAAACTATACAGCCTAACCCAGAGAGAGAGACAGAGAGAGAGGAAAATAATGAAGAAGGAGATACAGAAGATGTATAAAAAGAATAGATTAAAAATGTCTGCATGAGGCATCTGGGTGGCTCAGTCAGTTAAGCATCCTACAATGGCTCCGGTCATGATCTCGGGGTTTTTGGTTTCGAGCCCCATGTCGAGCTCTGTGCCGACAGCTCAGAGCCGGGAGCCTGCCTCAGATTCTGTGTCTCCCTCCCTCTTTGCCCCTCCCCTGCTTGTGCTCTGTCTCTCAATAAATAAATGTTAAAAATTTTTAAAAAGAATTTCTGATTAAACAAACCAACAACCAGAATAACCAGAATAGACAAGGGAAGGAATAAGAGAAAGAAAAGGAATAAGAAAAAAAATTATACACACACACACACACACACACACACTTAAAATAAGAATTGACTAAGAACCAATTCAGAAAATGCAAAAACGCTGGACCTATATCTGCCAGTGCCTTGGGACTGGTGGCTGTGCTGGTCTGGAGGAGGGGCGGTATGATTCCCTCCGGTGTCAATCTTGCTCCAGTACATACATAGTTACCAGGTGTAGAGGAGCATGGTTTCCTATAGGCAGGTCCTGCCTCCACTGTGGGCTCCTTGTCCCTTTCCTGCAGCCCCACCTTGTTGGTGATGGGGAGATAAATGGGATACCCCAGCCTCTCCCCACCAGACTGGGAGTCCCAAACCACTCTTTTCAGGCTATCCTCACAGTGCCCTGCCGGTGCAAGTGGGTCAGTTCGTTCAATGTCTTAAAGGATCCTTCTCTGCACAGCCTGGTTCTGGGGAAGTGCCACTCCGTCAAGCCAGCCAACAAAGGGCTTCTGACTCCTCACATTGCCACATGGGCACAAGCCACTGGTTTGCCCTGCTCCACAGTCTCCTGTGCCTCCCAGGTGCTAGACTGGGATTCAAACCCCCATGTCTTAAAGGATCTCACTTCCTGCGTCCCGGTCCCAGGGTAGGGTCACTCCACCAGCCAGCTGACAAAGGGTCTCTGACCAGCAGGCACCTGCAGGCTCTTTTGTCCTTGGAGGCTATATGACTTCTTCCCACAGCACTATAGGGAGAGGATAGCTCTCTCCGACTGCACCTGTCAGCTCGAGAGCTGGGGCTGGCTCCACTTCTCCTCAGGTGCATGAGCAGGACAGCAGGCTCCAGTCCAGACAAAGCTCCACAACCCTAGAATGAGGTAGAAATTGGTTCTTTTTCCTTTTTTTCCATTCCCCGGTCTGTGGTTTTGGGGTTTTTTAAATATTTTTTTAATGTTTATTTTTGAAGGAGAGAGAGACAGAGTGTGAGTGGAGGAAGGGCAGAGAGAGAGAGAGACACAGAATTAGAAGCAGGCTCCAGGCTCTGAGCTGTCAGCACAGAGACCGACGCGGGGCTTGAATTCACAACAGCGAGATCATGACCTGAGCCGAAGTCAGACGCTTAACCAACTGAGCCACCCAGGGGCCCCCCCGGTCTGTGGTTTTTCTCTTGTCCAAATTCATTCCTACACTTCCACAGTTTCTCTTTCTCTTCCTTTTGTCTCTCCACTGAAGGGGATCCCTCCCTCTGTTCCTATCCACCCCCCCATTTTATCTCTCCCAATTTGCAATCACACACCTATGGCCTGCCAAGTTGTCCCCGTGGGCCTCTGGAGATGCTTCTGTCACTCTGTAGCCTGGATTCCTGGGATTCCCAGTCTTCTGGCCTCAATACTGCCATGTTTGAGGGAGGAGGGAACTTCGGGTCCCCCTACTTCTCTGCCATCTTGACTCCTCCTGTGTCTATAAGTGTAATGTAAAACTGTAATAAACCTTCTGTGGGTACAGATGGAAGAGTTGCAGGTGAGCCATTCAAAACTGCAAGAACTTGGGCTATATTTTAAAAATTCTCTGAGCATCCATGTCCTTATCAGTAAATGTTTGCCCAGGGACATCTGATTTTTGAAACTTTTAAAGGACTCCTGTGAACTCTAATAGCCCATGCTAGCCTGGAACAAAATAGTAAAGTAGCTGCATGAGTTTCTTCCTTTTCCAGATGGCTGACAGCCAAGGAGTTGGGCTAGTTATCTTAAATCACATCATATTTACTGTGATGAGTTTGTGTGCCCTCTTGCCATCAGGTGGGAGAGGAAGGGCATGCTCATGTGCAGAAGCAACTGGGGCCTTAGCGGGGAGAAAAATGGAAGTGCAAACAATGGTGTTTCTCCCAACACTAGGGGATCATGCCCCCTCATCCCAGAGTCTTCGTTGAAACAATTTGTTTGCTTTTCCTCCAGGTACCGTTGGAGACTGGAAAAATTACATGACTGTTGAGCAGAATGAAAGGTTTGACAAGATTTTCCAAAAGAATATGAAAGATTTTCCCTTGAAGTTCATCTGGGATATGAATGAGGAATAGAATTCTAGGTGGTGCACAACTATTTTCAGAAATCACCTTCAGAAGGAAATATATTGAATTTTACATTTTCATCTTTGACTGTCATGGGCTTATTACTGAAAACTCTCAATGATTAATAAATATTAATATGTTGTCTTTACATCATTTGCCATCTGTGGCCTGTTTTCCATTTGCTGAATTCCTCAGTTTGTGATCAGGAGAGGATTCCTCTCTTTGTTTTGGTGTATAATTATGGAGTTGATTTTATTCTACATTCAGCAATTCCAAAGCTCTTGAGCAACAAAGGAGGTCTTAATGTATGATTGATTTGAAATCATAAAATAGAAGCCTTGTCACTTATAAAAAAACTATTTATGGTTTTTCTTCATATTTTAGAATTTAATTTTTAGGTGATCAGATGAGTCAACATTTCATTTTATGGTTTCTATGTTTTGTTTCTAACAGAGTGTTCCTGTCACAAGTATTTTCATGTATTCACAAATCCTATCTTTATTTAATCTGAATATTTATCTTGTGTTGTAAGACACCTATTTTTTTTCTAACAGAAAAAAAAATTGGCCCCAAATCATTTAATGAATAGCCATCATTTTCCTACTGATTAAAATAGACATTATCTTGTTCTTTTTTTTTTTTTTTAATTTTTTTTTTAACGTTTATTTATTTTTGAGACAGAGAGAGAGACAGAGCATGAACGGGGGAGGGGCAGAGAGAGAGGGAGACACAGAATCGGAAGCAGGCTCCAGGCTCTGAGCCATCAGCCCAGAGCCCGACGCGGGGCTCGAACTCAAGGATTGCGAGATCGTGACCTGAGTTGAAGTCGGACGCTTAACCGACTGAGCCACCCAGGCACCTCAGACATTATCTTGTTCTAAAGAATTTTCTGCCCATGAGTTGATTTACATAAAATGAGGTATTTTCTGTTGATATACTTTTCTTTTTCATAACCATGCCATAATTTCTAACATAAACTGTCGTGATGAGCTTTGTTAGAGTTTTGTTAAGTATTGCTTTACTCTTAAAAAAATCATTTGAAAACTGACATCGACACTAATTGAGTCTTCCCATTCAGAGATTTTATACACTCACCATTTATTTGTGGTTTTTTTTCTGGTCATTTAGTGAAGGTACATGGTCCTTAAATAAGCCTTGCTCATTTCTTATAAAGTTTATCCTAATCAGGTATAGATGGTATTTGTAGCTATTGGGAGGAGGATTTTTTTTTCTTTTTTCTTTTTAGAGAAAGAGAGAGCAAGAGTAGGGGAGAGGGGTGGGGGTGGGGCAAGAGAGGGAGAGGGAGGGGGGGAGAGGGAGAGAGAGAGACAGAGAGAGAGAGAGAGAGAATCTTAAGCAGGCTCCATGCTCAGCAGGGAGCCTGATGCAGAGCTCAATCTCACAAATCTGGAATCATGACCTGAGCCAAAATCAAGAGTCAGATTTTCAATGGACTGAGCCACCCAGCTGCCCCAGGGAAACTCTTTAAATTTTGCACCAGATGTAGCTGTCTTAATCACCTTATCATAGTCCTTAGGAGTTTCATAATGCTTTCAGAGTTTCTTGGCCTCCATTCCCCCAAAACATTAGGTATTTGCCATCTGGAGCTTTTAACAATGCTTCCAGAGTCTGCATTACTTCATAATTTTGTGCCACCAATCATGCCTTAAGAAAAAAGTGTATAAATGCTGATGTAAGGCAAATCCAATTAAAAGGTTACATGAACATTTCCTAGTTAAGGGGAAACCAGCAACAGTAATCAATAATATCTCTTATGAATGACAAGGATGAGTTCTTGATTGTACTGTCACAAACTCCAAAGATATATGTACCAAGAAGCAAAAGGATGCATTCCAGGAGGAAAGAGATCGTGGACTTTCAATATCTATGTGCTAGCACATTATTTGTGTTATGGAGGTGCAGACAGGAAGTAGGTAAACTACTTCAAGTAGCTTACCGTATTTGTCTTTCAGAGAATATACATGTTAAGCAGCAAAGATAGGCATTTTATAATGATATATCAAAATGAGTCACACTTCTAGTAGGAAGTGACTTCAGGGAGACCAATGAGTTCTAAAGTGATGGGAAAAGTTTTTCATAAATGACACAAGGAGTACAAGTTCATATAAATATGTACATGGGTATAATGTCAGCTTGTTTGCTGCTCTAGGACCTGTGTCAAGGTAACAGACAGAATACTGCCAAAAAGGTATGCTGTGAAGTTTATAGGCTTTTGTTCAAGTCATGTTAGTTGGGCAAGCCACTTGGAAAGAAAAGGTAAGGGGGGGGCTTCTTTGCATAAATGAAGGTGCTCAGGGGACAAGCAGAATGAAGCCATATTATTGCCCCAAGCAGACAATTAGAGACCTGGAAATTACTACACTGTGAGCTACTTCCACATGCTCAAGATATTAATCAACAGGTTATTGGTTGGACCATACCAGTTCAAACATGTCTAAATGTGATGTAATCAGTAAAATAAAATGAATTACACTCCAAATTGGTGGTATCTTTAATAGGTTGATTCTTATGGAACTCAGACTGTCTAGATAGTATGGATCTGGAATGTTTTCAGATGTTCTAGACAGCTGTACTTTTTGGATAATGTTTTCTAAAAGAACTTCTTGATACAATTTGGATGGACCCCCTTCAGCAACAGCTGCATAAATGTTGCCTGCATTTACATCTGTAGCAAGCAAAATTGCTTCAAGTTAAAACAATTCTTTTTTTTTCAAGTTTAAAAATTTTTTGATTTTATGAATTTTTTTTTTCCAACGTCTTTTTTAATTTATTTTTGGGACAGAGAGAGACAGAGCATGAACGGGGGAGGGGCAGAGAGAGAGGGAGACACAGAATCGGAAACAGGCTCCAGGCTCCGAGCCATCAGCCCAGAGCCTGACGCGGGGCTCGAACTCACGGACCGCGAGATCGTGACCTGGCTGAAGTCAGACGCTTAACCGACTGCGCCACCCAGGCGCCCCAGATTTTATTCATTTTTAAGAGAGAGAGACAGAGTACGAGTGGGAGAAGGGCAGAGAGAGAGAGGGAGACACAGAATCTGAGCAGGCTCCAGGCTCTGAGCTGTCAGCACAGAACCTGACATGGGGCTCAAACACACGAACGGTGAAATCATGACCTGAGCCGGTCGGAAGCTTAACCAACTGAGCCATCCAGGTGCCCCTCAAGTTAAAACAATTCTGAAGGGCAGCCCACTTGTTTCCATTTTGGGCTGTAATGAATAATACCGCTATGAACATTTATGTACAAGTCTTTGAGAAGACATATGTTTGTATTTCTTTTGGGTCGATTCCTAGAGGTGGAAATGTCAAACTGCTTTTCAAGGAGACTACCTTTACATCTCCACCATTTGTGAGGATCCCTATTTCTCTATACTCTTGCTAATGCTTGTTGTTATCTGGCTTTTTTATTACAGCTATTCTAGGGGGTATGAAGTAGTATATCATTGTTGTTTTACTTTTCATTTCCATAATAACAAAATGCTGTTGATCATCTTCTCATGTGCTTATTAGTCACTTGGCAAGTATATCTTGCCAAAATATTTATTCAACATTTTGCCCATTTTATTTATTTGTTTGTTTGTTTTGGAGAGCTTGAGCAGGGAAGGGACAGAGAGTGAGGGACAAAGAGAATCTTAAGCAGGCTCCATGCCCAGGATGAAGCCTGAGGTGGGGCTCAATGTCATGACCAACTGTGAGATTATGACCTGAGCCAAAATCAAGTTGGACACTTAACACACTGAGTCACCCAGGGGGCCCCATTTTTCCCATTTTTAAAAAAGTGTTGCTTATCTCCTTACTATCAAGTGTAAGAGTTCTTTACATAGTCTGGATACTTTTATTGGTAATTCACAAGTATTTTCTTAGTCTGCACCTTATCTTTCGATTTTAAAATGATGTCTTTTGAAGTGGTAAAGTTTTGAAATTTGATGAAGTCCAAATTATCAATTTTTTCATTTTATGACTTTGCCTTTTCTGTCGTCAGAAATTCTTTCTAACAAGGTCAAGAAAATTATGTCCAACGTTTCTTTTACTAGTTTTTTCATGTGAGCTCTTGAATTAGGGTCTTCAATCTATTCTGAAGTAATTCCTGTGTCTGTGGAAAAGGTTGAAATTCATCTTTTTGATGTAGATATCTAAATATCCCAGATAATTTATTGAAAAGACCATCCTTTTTCTCACTGACTTACCTTGGCACCTTACTGGAAAATAAATTGACCATAAATAAAAAGTTTGTTTCTAGAGGGATGCCTGATGGCTCAATTGGTTAAGCATGCAAATCTTCATTTTGCCTCAGGTCATGATTTCATGGTTTGTGAGTTCAAGCCCCACATCACAGCACAGAGCCTGCTTGGTATCTTGGTATTCTCTGTCTCCCTCTCCTTTTGCCCTTCCCTTGTTTGTGCTCTCGCTCTTGTCTCTCCCCCCCCGACTCTCATAAACAAACAAACAAACAAACAAACAAACAAACATTTTTTTAAAGTTTGTTTCTGGAGGGGGAGGAGCCAAGATCATGGAACAGCATGGAAGCTTTTTGTGTGTCTCCCGTCCATGAAATACAGCCAGACCAACACTAAACCATCCTACACACCTAGAAAACTGATTGGAGGATTAACACAACAATCTGCACAACCTGAACCACAGAATTCAGCGCAGAGAGCTGAACTTGGGGAGCGAGAAGCCGAGGGAAGGG